TTCAGTCCAGGAGTTTCTTAGATGGCATTCTGATTTGTCACATAGTTTTTCCTGGGGCTTAGTCTTTTTGTAAACATTCAAAACAGATATGTTGATTTGTAGATCTCCAAGGTTGGACACCTCGAGCCGGGCATCATCGACACTGTCTTCAGTCCTACAGTCCATCAGTCCAGACATGGGCAGGTGCCAGCCGCCTGGCATCACAGCATATCAGTTTGCTGTGTCCAAGGATGGAAAGCTCTATGTCAAGGGCCTGACAGACTCGAACCTGGAGGGCCAAATGTTTGTGGTCCATGGCAGGTTCAAGCGAGGAGATGAAGCCAAATCTTTGCTGAGTGAAGGCTCTGATTCAATCATTGCCTACAGTCTCACAGCAGAGTCGGCAGTCTTGCTCAAGGCCAAGAATGGCAGCACATTGCCAGCAGCGCTCCAGAAGTATGCAGAGAAGCCGGCTGCCTTGGGGGGGATCCTCAATGCCATGTCAATGGCAGGATTGCCAAAAGTGGGGTTGTACCTCCACAGTTGTGAAAGTGAGACTACGGGGACAGATGTTGTGTGGACAGTCAAGGCCTTGGAACCGGCATGCCTCAAATGTACAATTGAAGAGCCAGGCGAGGATAGCAGCAGTCCCTTCCCGCCGCAGGAGATCTCTTTTGCAAAGCTGTCCAGTTATGTGGTACTGTCCCAGCTTACTCAGGTCCAGATTTGCTTTGCCCTTGAGTATGATGACCAGGCCAACAAGCTGAAGGGCATGTACCCCAGTGTTTGTATGAAAGATACAGTCAAGCTTCCAAAGGATGTCATTGCACTGATGTAGATGCAAGATCCAGACAGTCCTACAGTCCTACAGTCCTACAGTCACCAGTCATATGAATCATTATTGCTGTTGGTCTGTTAGACTGTGGGCCTGTCTGCACACGTAGAGCTTGTAGGTGCAGCTGCAGTTGAGTCCCGACAAATAGTCGTTCCTCGACTGATTTTGCCAGCTCAGTTTTGTCAGCTCGGCTAACACAGCCAGACAGAGATGTGGCGCATCGGAGAAAACTGACTCTTGCACTGACTGTCAGTTGTAGCTGCACTGTCAGTGCCACAGTCTTGCAGCCCACTGAGCTGCAAGCTCATGTTTACTTTTAAAAGATTTAGGGTGTAGAGTTATTAGAATTTAAGGGTTGGGCCCTGGGGTTCTGGCTCTCGTCTGGTATCGTGGTCGTCGTCGTCGTGTCGTAAAGGACCCCTCTAGCGTTTAGGGTTTAGGGTTTAAAGAATTTGGAGACAAGGCTCTGTCGGCCTTTGGTTTGGAGAAGGCTCCTTCAGGAGAGAGGGTTGCAACTACTCTAAAATCTAACCTAACCCTCAGGCCTACAGTCCTACAGTCCTAAAAAGCCTTTCAAGACAAGGCTGTGTCAGCCTCTTTATGAAGCTCCAAAACCCCTAAACCCTCAGTCCTACAGCCCTACAAACCCAAAAACCCAGACTTTCAAGACAAGGCCGTGTCGACCTCCTTTGTTTGATAAGGCTCCAAAAACCCTGAAAAAACCTGATTGCCCAGGTCTGCCTCGTGGAAGATGTCCAAGATGCTGGGCACCAGGGCACAGCGGCTGCTGCAGCGGCACCAGCAGCGCCGATGTAGAGGGGCAGAGTGGGCTTGGAAGGTATGTTTTAAAGAGGCTGGGTGTTCTGGACTTCATATGCAGTTCCACAGTCTCACTGTCGACAGTGTGGACAGTGGGACTGTGGACCTGCACCTGAAGAGACTACATTCTGGACTGGGGGCCTGCCTAACACTGACACCTTATAGGTGTAGAAACTTACCTGGCCCTGAATATATTCCTTCCAGCAGTTTTTTTGGCTTCTGACTTCAGACTATCCCACTGTCTCACAGTCCCTGGCGCAATGGACGGAGATGTACCTTTTGACAGCAAGGTACTCACATACTGTGAGAGGGTGTCCAAGAGACGCAGAGTTCTCAACAATCTCAAGCAGACCGACATGTATCACCTCGCCAAAGCGAATGTGGCCAAAATAGCTGCCAAAGAGAATGATGGCAACATGAACTCGAACAATATGAACTCGAACAACAAGAAGTCTGGACCTGGTCTCCCCAGTCCTCCGATGACACCACGAGATATTGAGGACATGTCAAAGAGAGATTGGGAGAAACAGTTTTTTGTCTTCAAGACCAGACTACGTGAGTATGCCCAGTGCATGCAGGACTGATTACTTCCTTCTGCAGTCTCACAGTCTGGCAGTCCCACAGTCTACAGTCCCAAGATTGAGAACAAGCTGTTGTGTGTTTTGTTTGTGTTGGTTTTGCACTGCCAGACTGACTGCTGAAGAGGAGGTTCACACTTGTGGGCCCAAGGACTTTGAACTGTATTTGGGACCCATGTACAATAGCCACATGCACACAGACTGACTGTCTTGTGCAGTGTGCATGGAGTACAGTCAGTCTTGCAGTCCTCTACAGTCCTAGAGAATCAATATGTTGAACCAGACTTTTCAACTGCAAGACTGAAAAACTCCACTGCACAATGACTACAAGTCTCATGAGACAAGATCTCAAAAGTATGACAGTTGTGGTCTGCGTATGTTGCAAGGAGTCTTCGGGCAGTGCAGTCTCACAGTCTCACAGTCCATCTACTACCACAAAATAGCAGACTGGGTAGCCTGTATCATGATAGTTGGACTGCAAGACTGGTAGACTGCACATGGACCTGTACATATTGTACTGTTTCTGCTGCTTTCTGCTCATAGCACACTAGCTTGTCTCCCGGTCCTCAGTTCCACTGCTATTCAGTGCCATGGAGACAGATTCTCAAGAGGAGGGGGTATCTGACAAAATGGCAACACGACTGGCAAAGCGCATACGACTGGTTGAGCAGTTTCAGGCCACAGACGTGTACTTTCGCTCCAAGGTGCTCCTCATGCACTGTGACTCACAGTCGACTCCACCAGGGGACCCACCAGTGACACCGAGGATGGAGTTTTCAAAGAGAAGGTGGGAAAAGATGTGGTATGTCTACAAAACCAGGTCCCGCCTCTATGCAGAGTGGCTGAACTAATTCAGTCTGGCAGGCCTTCAGTCTTACAGTCCACAGTCCTGCATTCCTACAGTCCCACAATCCTACAGCAACAACAGGTTGTGAACTGTGGACTACATGACTGGCTGAAGACTGTTGTTCGAAATTATTTTGCACTGACAGACAACAACCAGGGAAGCCTGATGTGATGAAAAGACCTCTTTTAACAAACAGTCTCATCGTCGTCGTGTCGTAAAGGCCCCCCTCTCGTGTAGGCTCGTAATAATGTAACAAACAGTCACACAGTCCTACAGGCCTTGGGGTTCCAGGTTCCTCGTACAGTCACACAGTCCTACAGGCCTTGGGGTTCCAGGTTCCTCGTACAGTCACACAGTCCTACAGTCCTACAGCCTTGGGGTTCCAGGTTCCTCGTGTCGTCAGTGTAGCCGTCGTTTTCGTCGTCGTCGTCGTGTCGTAAGGCCCCCTCTCGTGTAGGCTCGTAATAATGTAATGTAACAAACAGTCACACAGTCCTACAGGCCTTGTAGTGGGAGATATAGGCCTTGAAGTTCTCAAAGAAAAAACAAGGGATGTTGGTTGCAAAGGCTGGAAGGAATAGCTCATAATCTCTCCAAGTCGGTATCCTAGTTACCCTGGCCTGATATCCTAGTTGTCTTGCCGACTCCTTATATATATATATATATACATATATATATCCTTGCAGCCCTTGAAAACTAAGTTTATGGTTTAATATACCCTCGAACTTAAACTGCGACGTTGTGTGTTTTCAGGCCGCAAACTTCCGTTCTGTTGTTCCCCAGAGTCAAGGTTGGCGCTACGATGCGAGCAAAAACCGAAGCAGTAGGTCGCCCGCTACACGGCGGACATCTGGACACAGAAAAACTGCAATTCGTGTCTCAGCGCCGCTACGATAATAGCAGGCAATATACAGGCCTGAGTAATTGCCAATATTATCCCTTTGAGTTCCTCGTTCTAACTATAGCATAGTTTAACCCGAAACCCTACTTTAATCACCAAGGCCCCTGCACTACTGGTGGCGGCTATGGTGATGAGCGAAACTTGCTTCACCATAACCGTGCCCGTGACCACGTCAATGACGATTATGTCGACGATAGTAACTTACATGATGAGCATATGGGAGTTTCCGAAAATTCGGTGTACCTTATTTGGTGGCCATTAAAGTAAGGATCCTACTATTTTGGGAACTGTAGGAGGGTCCCCTGTTTTCGGAACCTCCCGTATGGCGTGCCAAAGGCTTGGAGTACACGGCTTCGTGTTTGTAAAGGCAGGGGATTTTGACTCTTGAAGGTTCAGGGCTTGGGGCTTTAGATAGTCGGGTGCCCCAGTTATCATGAACCCCAAAAAGGGCCGCATCCTGAATTTGAGCTTTATGGGACTCTTGAGACATGAAGCTCTGAATTTCTGTACCCTAACTGCTAAGCCCTAAGACCCTACGCCTTAAGCCTCGCTTAGACAGTTGGGACCCTAAACCCTGAACCCTAAACCCTAAACCTCCGGACGATTTTGCTCCCGGCACTGAGAAGGGCAGGCATCTTTGTACACTGCCACGGGGGAGTAGGATTTAGGGTTCTGACTTCGGGTGTGGAGTCTGAGTACCACGAAACCTGATCTCAACCAGGACCCCCCAAGGGCCCTTTAATGGAGTCCTGATGGCCCCTAATAAGGTGTTTGGAGTGTATTTGGGGGGTTGGCCCTGGACAGTGGATTTGGGCAAGGGTTCTGTCGTTTGGGGTTTTGCAGTCAGGTGGGCTCGGAGTGACACAGCTTCGGGAGCAGCCCACTACCAGAAAACCATCAGCGGCAGTGCCTGTCAAGTACATCGGCCGCAAAACTACCACGCTCAGACTAGTATCGACCACTGGGTTCAGATGTTGGGCTGGTTTACATAACCCGAAAACCCTCTTTAGAAGGACCCGAAACCTGAAGCACTGCCGATGCTCAGCTCATCAAGCTCACTTTTCCCTCGGCATCCCGCACCTAAGGGCGGCAAAGATGGGGCTTGGGGATTCTATCGAAGAGTTTTGGGTTGAGGGTGTTAGCCGCTTTTGTAGCGGTTCAACAGATGGCCTCGATACTTACAATGTATATTTAGGGTGTACTATATGCTCAGATACTGTGTATCTATTTAGGGCTTGTCAAGGAATAGTACTTTCATCCACTTTTCATTGTGCAGTCACTAAATTAAGCCCTGCCGGCGCGTTGACTTGGTGCATGTCTTGTATATTTACCCGATGCAGCGCATGTGATTGAGCATACTAGAGGCGGTTGCTACCAAGTATCCAGACCGCCTATATTCTATGGACTCCACAAGCTAAGAAGCGGCGTTTCGACAAACCCTACTTTTGATCAGGTTCCTGCATGGGCGCCCGGATTGACGACTGTGACTTTTCGTTAGACTCGCAGTCCTCACCGCTTTAGCAACCCTAAGGGTCCATGTACTCATATAGTATATACATTGGCCTTAATGTAGTCCCTATATAGGTACTTTGGGGCCCATGTATCTCTATATGGGTACATGGACCCTTAGGGAACCCTAAAACCCTGAACCCGAAACGAAGATTCTACATCTTGGGACCTCAGAACAGCACTCAACTGCAGCAACCGTGAAACTCGCACCAGCACGCACAACCCAAAAGCTAAAAAAATACAACAAACACCGCAAACCCCGGAAAACACAAAACGCAACTTCTTGAATACCAACTCCTTCGTCGCGACCCCCTCCCCTCCTCCCCCGCTCACACGAGCCCCAAGCCTTAATTAACCCCAACAGCCCTGAACCCTGTAATCTAGACCGGAAACCGTAAAACCCCAATCCAAAGAGCCATGAATCATAGAACCCTGAGGCCTCACCATAAGATGCCTTGATGATTAGACCTCGACTTCTTGGCGTTTTGTTGAAGGTATTGTGTGGTGAAACTTCAATACTGCCTCGTATAAGGTTTAGTGCAAGGAGGCTTGATTGTTGGAATCGAGTTTCGGAATATATGAACTATACAAGACTTCTGTACGGGCCATACGGAAGCATTACTCTATGCTAATGATTCAGGGCTCTGCAGTAGACCCCATACCGCATGAAGGCACAAGGCACGAGTTCAAAGCCTTCGTCATCGCTGCTGCTGATGGTGCTGCCCTGCGAGCTTGGATAGGTCGGCTGAAGACGAACTTGACCAACATACGGAATGAATGCGTCGAGCAGTGTTGAGGGGCATGTGATGTTCTGATGCAAGAAGGAACTCTGAGGGATAGCGTTAGCCATCTATCGTCCTAGAATCAGCGTTGCCAACTAAGCCCTGCTGGAGTGCAGGAAGTGCCAGTCGAGCACACATGCCCAAACTGGGAATCAAAGCAGCGAACTCCAACCTAGCTTAGCATGCAAAGTCTGAGCCACAATCCCAAACCACAAAACCGCTTGCCTCAAATCTCCGGGCCTTAAGCTTACGAGGGTTTGTAGCTGAGCAGCAAAAATTTTGACCACGCCATGGTTTTCAACTTTCAGCCTGTTGAATCCTATCTTAACCTTCCGACTCCTAAACAAAGAACTTCGATCCTGTGGACCTCTAATAAACCCTAAGCCCGAAAACAAATATGACCCTGAGACCTTCACAGCCAAAACACGAAACTCTGTCAACGTTTATCCTCGAACTCAAAACATAACATCGATCTCCGAACCCGGCGATAATATCCCTTGAGGTTCCGGCGGTTCCTTCCTACCGATCTATTTCTTTATGTCTCCCAAACCCTAGTCCTCTCGGATTCTTAAGCTCATCGTCGAAGGTGTGGGGCTTAGACTTCCGGAGCTGAGGGTTAAGCAACATGTGGGCTCTAAATAGAAAGGATCGTTGTCGACGACTTGTTTAGGATAGAGACAGCGAGCTTTTGAAGCTGATGGAGTCAAAACTCGCACAGCAACTTGAAGATAAAAGGTCTCCTAAGAAAGGGGCCTCATCGTCGTCAATGTGCTGACCACGCTCGAAGATGGCCACACCTCCAAGAACCTGACTGGAAGAAAGGCATCTTTGCTTCTTGGGGGTCTAGAGTCTTGAGGAAACACGAGAACTGCGGTTTTTAGGGTTTCGATTCTTTTGCCTGGCCTTCATGTCAGGGTTGAGTCTAGTCGAACGTCAGATGGATTGGCATTTTTTGTCGTTGTTGCTTCTAAAATCATGCTGTCTGTGGGCTTTTAGCTCTGGGGTTAAGATAGGCAGCATGATGTCCGATTCTGGGTTGTCCTTTAAGCCCTTTGAAAATTATTTACTATTATGGTTCTCTACAAAATAGTAAGGGAAATTAAAAAAGATCCCAAAGGACAACCCAGGATTGAATATAGATGAAAGCGCTGTCTCCCCGCTGGGTCCTTCATCCTGCGCCGACGAGCATACATCCCAGTCGACAATGCGCTGGTAAAAAAGTGTCGAAATCGGAAGTCGCCTTTTCCCACCGCTGATACCATCAAAACAAAGTGGGCATGACATCATACCTGGACACTATACTAATTCGAATTACATGCCAGATTGGCTTGGGACATATTGTGTCACTCTGTTGGCCCTCATGAGGCAGCAACGTCGATGTCCGCAATGCGCTGCCGGCATGTGGGACACTGCCCCGTAAAACGCATTACTTCTTCGATGCACCTGTCACAGTACTGCCAGTGCCCACACGGCTGTAAGAGAGCTCAGCAGATGTCCAGGCGGGAGGTATACTGCTAACACAAACTCCCTGTCCAACTGGTCTATTGTTGTTGGCGGGTTCAGCTCTTCTGCCATGTTGACACCAACGTGGCAGTCCGTGCTACCGACACCATTGAAAGTACGCCACCACCAGTGCCCTTTTCGGCCAACGCTCACAAACAGTCCACCACTATGGTCCTGCAAAGACACTGCCACTGCATGGCCGGATCTGTTATATATGGCGATGGGAATCTTTTTGGCATTTGCTGCCTTGTCAGACAAGACCCATTCCCTTGCAGCATAGCCAGACATGATGGCGCCAGCTGCCGCGCCACCAACAGTGAAACCGAGGGCTCCAACAGCGGACATATACGCCAAACAGTGAATGTTCATACTTGCCCAACATGCTGCTGCGAATCCGGCACCTGCTCCACCCATCAAACCGAGGCCACCGCTCCGGGCAAGTAGCGCCGCATCGTTCCACACTTGTTCACTGCTTGCAGGGTGCAGAGTATCCCAGCATTCAGCTACAAAGTGCTCACAATTGTGTGTCAGGAGATGGAAATCCCATGCCTCACCCACCCTGCCACGGGCGCGCTCAAGGATCTGGCGTCCCCTCCACAGCTGTTGCAGGGAGTTTCACCACGCGAGGGCGCATGGAAAAAGCTGACTCAAATGTCAGCCTCAACGTCCGAGCCACGTGCATCCCTTCATGTGCATCCGGAGTAGCAGTCACATGCACATATTCCTGCTTGTCGATGTCCAAGATTGCAGTCATGCTGCATGATGTTCGCAGCCGATACAGGCAGAGACATAGCTTTCGCAGCTGCTAGATCCGCATGACACAATCGCAACATGTGCGCATGGCATGATGCCTGCTTGCTCCCTTCTCCTGTCATAGTCCAGCCGGCGATAGAACACGTCCGCCATGAGTCCAGGAGTTGTACTTTAGAATTCATCCCGATACTTCTTGGCAAGCACATACCGAACATTTTAGAAGGATCATTAATTGTAGTGTGTTCACGCGCTGTCAACAACCCCCATAATTATTCAGTACCAGTCCCGACTGTGAGGCAGTGTTTTGGACGTGAAGTTGCATCACACGGCCTGTGGTTGAGCTCATTGATTGAGCTCCTAGCATTTGGCATTTGGCGCAAGTGCTGAGGGTGTCACGCATCATGGGACCTTTCTGGCTGAGGGCAATAGTTCGGTTATGCAGGCTGCAAGTCTAAGATCACGAATACAATTTGGGGCAAACAAGACGATCCAAAAGGGGTCGTGGGGACACCAGTGCTCTTTAGCCCATGTTAGACCAGCATGTCGAAGAATTTAACAGTGGGGGCAGGCATTGTCAAGCGACGATGTGCAAAAGAACGATCTGAGTGAGATGCTATCACGGGCAAGTCTCACACGAGAAACTCATCAGCTTTGAAGCTATCCACGCAGATAGTTTGAGTAGCCGCACGAGACTTGCGAGATAAGCTCCACATAGACCCACCGAATTCCAGATGGATTTTTCTTAGACTAGGGATGTGCGACCACAAATACTGGGCAAAGCTAGTTGATGTCAAAGCACAAGAAATAAGCAACCTTCTAAGGGCTTGATTCTGCACTCCACATTCTTGTATCTTATAAAGACGTTGATCTACCACTGCTTGAACGGCATTTTCAAGCTTGGTCATGCTACAACCGTAAACACGACCTATTGACTCTGCTAGCGCATTGCAGTAGAAGTTTTGCAGTACAAAAAAATTACTGATAATTGATTTTGCCGATGTCTTTAGTGGCACTTTCCGGTATCGGCACATACTCACATTTCATTCTACGAACTGTTGCCACACATACCCACCTTGTCATTTACAATTGCTGTGCGTATGTAAACGTACATACTTATAGATACAATACCTCTTTAAATCGTCTCCTTCTTGAGCAAACTAATGACGACTGATACTCAACCAATAATATTTCGATCCTTAAATAATCAGGTCTATCCATTCTTCTGCGTAGTAATGGTTTTGACTTTAGTAGTTTCTTCTCACCACAACATACAGGTCTCTACTCCAATTTTCGGCCCTTTCTTTTGAGCCGGCTTTCCTTTCCTACCGATCTCAACTTCGTCACCCTTGTCAACCTATGGATATATCACATTCCGATTCCGCTTGCCACTTCCCGCACCCTTATACCTCTCATTGATTACTGGGTTTCCGTGCGGCCTTTGACGAGAATTTTGTAGCATGTCAGTAATATCTCGTCAGTGAATTAAATGTTGCTGTTCCGCTTGTTCTCGCCAGGCTTCGCATTCAAATTGCTTCTCTCGTCGGCCGTCTTATGCAACATGTCGTTAAAAGTTCTCTGAAAGTTCGGATCGGCTTCTCACTGCAAGTTACGTGTACCGTTGCCCTGTGATGCTCCATCTTCTGCTCCTTTACATATGCTGAAAAGATTGTCCAGATAAAACACCTTCATCATCAGTAAACGTGGGCTTTTTTTAACCGTCATGTGTGGACACTCAAGAATTCCCGAAGCCAAATCTTGTTTCTTGCCGTTTATCGGCACTGTGTGCATAAACTTTTTCAGAGCCATCTATCATGACATTGCCAACATTCTTAATGTCATTAAATAAGAACAAGTCCAGTAGATACTCGTATGCCGAATGTGGTGCTACAAAACCGTCCTGTCCCACAGATTTCATGTTGTCGACAATGCATTCTCATCGTCAGTAGTTTTGCGTTTAAGTTGATCTTGGTCGCACGCTTCTTTTGGATTTCTCTGTCTGCTCCCACATCCCGCACAATCATCATACATGTCACTGATAAACTCCGGTTTATTCACCAAAGTTCTATATACCAACATGCTCATCTAATTCGAGGTAATTAAACTATAACTAAATCAGCACTTGGAACAACCAATCTGAAAGTCTCCATGGCATGTTATTGTTTGTTGCCTTTTACTCGTGCCGGCTCTCTTTCCTTCCTGATTTTCCATGTCTGATGTTTGCTCACTTCGTCCAAGACTTTTGGTAATTCGTTCTACAAATTTATTGATGTCTTCTTCGTCCTTCTTCTTCTTCCCTGCCCGCCCCCTCATGCTGTTTTCTGTGATACCTGTAGTACAGTCGAAGGTCGATTGCGATCTGTTCCTTTATTTCCGTTACCTGTACTTGCATATGGGCCATACTCGAAGACTAGGACGAAAGGATTTTCAGGATCCAGGTGTTCCCTGCGGGCCCTGTTAAGGTTCAGCTGAGAGACCAATCCGCTCCCGAGCACCACGACGGAAGGCAAGTGCTCACCCAGGAAAGCTACCGATATGGAGGCCAGACAGATGGTATTGAGCCTTGGTGCAAGGCTTCAGGCTCGAGAGTCTCTGTGACACAGGCCGCCGGGAGCAGCATGATGATGATGCTGCTGCTGCTGATGACCATGATGGCGATGACACTGATATACACTGCTGATGTTGGCCGTGGTACACATACGAGGGTGCACATAAATATCACGAAGGCCAACAGCCTAAGCCCCAGGATTGAACCGGCTTGAGCACTACATTCAGAAACCCTAAACCCCTAAACCCTAAACCCTAAACCCTGAACCCTGAACCCTAAACCCTAAACCCTAAACCCTAAACCCAAACCCCTAGACCCCTAAACCCCAAAACCCTAAGCCCTAAACCCTAAACCGTGCCTGGATCCTGAGACCCCCAAACCCGAAACCTCAAATTGCCTAGACTCATAGATTGGAACTGTGACCCAAAACTGATCTTAGCCACGGGATCAACAAAACCCCTTGTTCAAAGAATAGAAGAGTCCATCCCGAACCCTGAACCCTAAAACCCTTTCCCAAATAGTATATACTTTGGCCTTAAAGTACTCCCTCTATAGGTACATGGGGCCCAAAGTATATACTGTTTGGGTACATGGACCCTTAGGGTTTAATGTGATCCGAGGTACATTGCATAGCTATACTAGCTGCACAGTTTGGGAGTCTCTGAGCTCCTGAAGCCGTACCAGAATCACTATAGAGGTCTTGATAAACAAAACCTAAACCCTAAACCCTAAACCCCTGTACCCTAAACCCTAAACCCTCAACCTTAGGCTCGGAACACCCTGAACCCCTATGCCCCCCCCTCCCTGCTGCCGGAAAGGCTTTCCAACGATCTGTTGGGCGCTGGCGCCCAGGTCCCTGAGGGCCTCACTGCTTTCCCTTATCTTCCTATTCTTCTCTGACTAGACCCAAGAGTAACCTAGGAAGCAAAAGGGTGCCCTTTTTGGTTTAAAGGGGGTTATAAGGGAACCTAAACCCTTAAAAAGGGAATAAGGGCCTACTCTGGGTCCTAGCTGACCTGATCCCGACAACCGGTCTGGCTCGCGAAGGTGGGACGGCGGTGGCGGTGGTGTTGGTGGCGGTAAATAAACATCACGGGAGTGCCGTGTCCACCCAGGTATGGAGTTGTGTGGGAGCGCATCCGAATCAGGAGTTCCTGAGCCTTATGAAACCGCACAATCCTATACGTACAGCCGCACATACACACTTATAAGAGATATATCCATCCATCCATCCAGCCGTACATGCATACGCGTACATGAAACACGTATCGAAGCGCATGCACCAACCCAAAGAAAGACGCCTAAACCGTAATCAGACCGTAAGCCCCAATGGGCAGGGCCGCTCTGACTCCCAAACCCTCTTAATTGGGACATATACTCCTGCTTTCGACAAACTCTCTATGATCTGAGAATTTCGTTAACTACGGTGTGCCGAACTCGCTGGGTCTATGCATACACCCTGACAAGCCCAAGAGGGCATCCTCAAAGAACTCTGTGAACTCTTAAACCCTCAACCCCCAAGATCGAAGTCTTAAACTTCCTAAACCATATTACCATATTTATCAATCTCCGATGATCATACCCGCCATGAACTTAAACCCTATATATCAACCCCAATGATCAGAACAGTCATAGCTCATGACTCTAAACCCTATATCAACCCCAAAGATGAGAACCGTTAAAACACTAAACCCGATATCAACCCAAAAGGCCCTAAACCCTAAACCCTAAACCCTAAACCCTAAACCCTAAACCCTGAAGCCTGTACCCTAACCCCTCAACCCCAACCCTAGACCCTAAAGCCTCTGCCCTAAACCAGCAACCCCAAAGATCGCAAGCCTAAACACTAAGCCCTACATCCATGTATATGTGTATATATATATATATATGTATGTATATATATATATATATATATATGCTCACCCCCCCCCCCCGTTGACAGACCGCGGGTCTAAAAAACACCGTGCACGACGATATTCTATGAAGCAAAACCTTTACATGAGGTACATAGTATAGCACCAGACGTGCGGCACATGAGTTACGTAACAGTCTTGTGGTAGTATCGGTATTAGGGTGAGTATTATTATTAATATTAGTACTATTGTTTGCTGTAAGTATACGTATCAATATTGCCAACTATAAATTAGTGTTAGTGCTCATGTTCGTGTTAGAGTTAGCGCTAGTGCCAGTGTCAATGTCAGTAATACAGCACCACTGCTACGAGTAGTATCAGTATCAGTCTTAATGCTGGGTTTAACAGCAGCTTATATTCGCAGAAGTGCTAGTATTAGTATCAATATTAGAACTAGTTAGTTTGGATATGTTAGTATATTGATAGTCTCGTATATTAGCAGATGAGTATATCAGTACATCAATGTATTCGAACAGTAAAATATTTGCATACTTGTATACTAGTATATTTTACATGTTAGTACAACTGGTGCATGAATACACTACTATACTGCTGTACTAGCTTACTAGTATATTGACATACCAGTATATTCGAACGTTAGCATATTAGTGTACGAGTATGTGTACTATATGACTGTTTTATCTAATCATTTATAAGTATATCAGTATGTTGGCATATTGGATTGGTATACGAACTTGTCATGTCGGTATTCTTGCATAGTGCAGTAGCCGTATATGAGTACAGTCACATATTCGTGTAGTATACTCATACAGCAACGAGAGGTATATTGATACATTGGTATATGGGCATATGCCTATGCCAAAGCATTAATACATGAATGCACTGACGTATATATCTGTATCTTAAGATAGTGGTATGTATTTTATGTACATTAGTATATGCAGGTGTCTATTAGTAATGATATTAGTCATCATATCAATATGAATATACTATTGGTGTTCGTAGCAGTATTAATGTCAATATTATTAGAAATAGGACTATTTATACTCGTAATAGCCATAATATGAGTGTTCATGCTGGTAATACTAGTGGCATTCTTGAATATTCAGCAGATTATCAAAGTCCGTACTAGTGTTGGTGATAGCATCACTGTTAACGCACAAGAGTTTACGTACTCGTATTCGTAGGAGTATCAATAGCTATGTAAATATTGATGTTAGTATAAATTTTGTGTGAAGTATTAGCAGTAGTGTTAGCTGTATTTTATGTACATTAGTATAAGCAGGTGTCCATTAGTAATGATATTAGTTTTCATATCAATATGAATATACTATTGGTATTCGTAGCAGTATTAATGTCAATATTATTAGAAATAGGACTATTTATACTCGTAATAGCCATAATATGGGTGTTCATGCTGGTAATACTAGTGGCATTCTTGAATATTCAGCAGATTATCAAAGTCCGTATTAGTGTTGGTGATAGCACTACTGTTAACGCACAAGAGTTTACGTATTCGTATTCGTAGGAGTATCAATAGCTATGTAAATATTGATGTTAGTATAAATTTTGTGTTAAGTATTAGCAGTAGTGTTAGCGTTAGTACTATAATATTATTGATGATATACATTCGAAAGAATGTTTGTAGTATTATTACTCTTGATCACGTGAAATTCTAACAGTTGAATACATGAGTGAGTTAAAGGATTTGTATTTTAATATGGTGGTATGCATGTTTATGTACATTAGTACATACAGGTGTGTGTTAGTATTGGTATTAATATACATTATTATCAATATGAATATGGTTATTGATATGCGTAGGAGTAATAAGAGCAATACTAATCAATCTTAGTATTTGTGTTATGCATATTCGTACTAAGCTTTATAGAAGTGTAATATTAGTAGTAATGCTGGTATTAGCTTGAGCATTCAACAAATGATCACTGTCAGTATTTCCAATGGCAATACTATATGTAGGAGTATCAATACATATATGTATATACAGATAGACAGGTAGATTGAGAGATATTCGTTTAAATATGGGCATGAGTATTGACAGCCCTTGCCTTTGCAAGTAAGTCGTGCATGGTCTGTCATCGGATGGGTCACAATCAGCCCTCCTGAGAATCAATTCCAAGGTCCAGAGATTCCAAAATTTCCAAAAGTTCCAAAACTTCCAAAATTTCCGAAATTTCCAAAATTTCCAAAATTTCCAAAATTTCCAAAATTTCCAAAATTTCCGAAATTTCCAAAATTTCCAAAATTTCCAAAAAGTCCGCCCTTATGTTTTGGAAAAATCCTGTCCACTAGGTCGGGCCGTTTTGGAAATTTTGGAAATTTTGGAAATTTTGGAAATTTCGGAAATTTCGGAAATTTTGGAAATTTTGGAAATTTTGGAAATTTTGGAAATCCGGAAAGTTAAGGGAGAGAATTTTGGAAATTTTGGAAATTTTGGAATTGAGTTTTTGAAAGCTGAGTACCCCCTCCCCCGATCACAGACCATGCACTACGACTGAGTTGAAAGGGCATGGTCTGTCAACGAGTCTTTTGGTGGTTCCACAGATACGTTCGGAGGGCTCAAACTCGATACCCCGGAAAAAGCACGAACACACCGGTGGGAGCGATGTTTTGAAGGGGATGGTCTGTCAACGGGGGGGGGTGACCATATATATATATAGAGAGAGAGAGACCTTATACTTCAAACTTCAAACCTAAACCCAATACCCAAAGCCCTAAAACCGCGACCCCAAAGATCGTCGCGTCCGCGAAGCAAAGGTCCCCAGGAAGTTGAGTGCAAGAGCACAGGAGCAAGACAGGACGATGAAGCCGGTCCTTCGGTTGATGATATAAATCCTGAGTTTTACCTTAAGGGCCCGAAAACTATGGGAATTATGGTATATTCCTTATTATGGGGAATGCGGGATTTCTATCATCAACAGTTTCATTTGTTTTTGGAGGGTATAGGGTTTGGGGTTTATAAACCCTGAACCCCCTGTGGGGTCACAAGGTTTGGGGCTTTGGGTTTAAGGTCTAGGGTTGGGGGAGTGGGGGGAGGGCTGCATTTCTCAGCAAATCCACTAGACCGGCTTCTTTTAGGTTTGAGGGCTTAGGCTATAGGGACTTTCAGAATATTTTAGGGGCTGGGCGGTTCATTACTCATAATACGGAATATACCATTATTCCCACAGTTCAGGGTCCTTAAGAGGATCTATACCATCAACAGGAGGATCGGCTCTTTCGAGCTCTTCGGGCGCTGTGTTTAGTGCGGTTAGGGAACGATGGGTTCTGGGGTGAAGCGATTTAGGATTTGTGCTAAGTCCTACAGAAGAGTTTAGGCGCTAGGGTCAGGGCTTTCGGTTTCGAAGGGTTGGGTGGACAGTTAACTGATGCAGGTGCCAAGGGCCAAGGTCCAAGGTTAAAACCCAGAAATGCTACAGGAATCGCCTTTCTACACCAAAGACATGGGAATCAAGTAGCGGGAGATAAGTACGGCACCTGAAACCCCCCGAGTCACGAAGCCCTAAGGCTTAAAACCCATATCGAGAGCCAACAGATTTCCAGGGAAATGTCTGCAGGGGGAGGCCGGGATTGAATGCGGTTGACTCCAGTCAACTTGTCAACCGGATCCCGGCGATTACCGATAACGCCTTTGGTGGTTTAGGGCAACACCGAAATTGAAATCGAAAATCTCGGACCGGGCCAGGACACAGCTCCGGAGTGAGCTGATGCCACGCATCCCTGCATGGGTTTCGGGCTTGGGGTTTCAGGGTGGTCGGCTTCCTCGGGTTTGGGGTCAAGGGCAGGGCTTACCTAAAGCCCCGAAAGTAGGTGAAGTAACCCCCCAATATAAAATGCCATTGTTCTACATTCTTTGGGTGTCCAGGTAGGGAGTACAGGCGACATGATTTGCATGAGGGTGTTGAGGCTGACAAAGCTTGGAGTCTTTATGCAGGGTTGCATAATCTTTGTCTGCCTCTGTGAGAACATGTTGGAAGACTGTCGTGACAATTTACGGCCCGGGAGTCTTTTGGCGGAACGTGTCGGACACACCAAGTCTAAACCGACTGAACTGAAACTCTGAACCCTATACATACTATACATAAAACAAAAAACAATGCCCTAAACTGCAAATATCACAAACAAAACCAACACAAACCCTCTCAAGCTCAAACCACAAGACCCAGATCCTCCCTAAACCCCAAGCCACAAACTCTAAACCCTTTAACTAGACCCAAGAGTAACCTAGGAATAAAAAGGGTGTCCTTTTTGGTTTAAAGGTACTTATAAGGGAACCTGAACCCTAAAAAAGGGAATAAGGGCCTACTCTGGGTCCTGGTTAAAGACACCGAAACTGCCAGTCGCGCGGCATCGGCTTTTCACCGGAGGCCAGCGCATACGCCAGCGCTAGGACGGCCCCCCATGGATAGGTTCTGGGCGCCACAGTTGAGGGTTTTGGCTTCGGTTCAGGGTTTAAGGTTTTGAGGGCGCAGGGTTTCGGGTTTTAGGGTTTTGGCTTATAGCGTTTAGGGTTTTAAGGTTTATGGAGAGTTTCGGCTTTCGGGGTTTGGTTTCAGGTTGCAGGCTTCCGGTTCAGGGTTTATAGGATTTGAAAAACAAAGGTGCGGAAGGTCGATAAAGCTTTGTGGCTCGGATGGGAGGTTGCATGGGGGCTCTACTTGGATGTTGTTTCGACTTCAGAAGTCGGGAGTGAAACAGGTATGAGGCTTCTCGCGGGGGAAGTTTAACGGGGGGTACTGCGCAGACCTGCTGAGACAGAGTAGTTTAAGCCTGTGCCGGGACACCCAGAGTATGTCGAAGAATGGCCTCTTTATAGATATTGGGCCATTATTTTACCTACTTTCGGGGTTTAGGTGTGGGATTTAGGAAAGTTGGCAGATACAGCTTTACTTGAAGGCTGGTCCGGTCGCACTGAAGCGTGTTTCGGATGAGAGAGTCGGTCCCAGCCTCCCCAAAAGCCCCGCAAGACCTAAAACTCCTATGATCTATAAGGGCTCTATAAGGGAATTGGGGATAATGTACCCCTATAGAGATACATGAGCCCCGAAATTCCTATATAGGGACTACATTAAGGCCCATGTGGATACTATATGAATACATGGACCCTTAGGGTAAGGGAGATTCGGCATAATGTGCCTTTAAGGAACCCTTAAAGGGACCTTCAACCCCAGCAGCTGAATCAAGAAAAGCTCTAAGCCCTGGCACACCAAAGGCCTGAAAACCTCAAGGAAATAGGGCCCCCAAAAGGCACATAAGCAAAAATTAGGGTTTAGGGTTTAGGGTTTAGGATTTAGAGTTTAGGGTTTAGGGTTTAGGGTTTAGGATTTAGAGTTTAGGGTTAGGGTTTATAGGGATATCCCATATAACCCCCCCTTATAATGAAGCCCAATAAGGTAGGGATGTCCACATAAAACTCTTATGCTGATGTGCTTTTTGGGTCCCTAGCTCAAAGAAAGAAGGCCGGGTGGCAAAGACAGGACGTGAATGACGGAGAGCGGCTCCTGTCAGTCATGTAGGAACCTTATGAACACTTGGTTGCGATCGGTTTAGGGCATCGGGCTGAGCAGTGTCTGCGCGCATGTAGTCATCATATTACTTCGCAGCCGCATGCCTTCTTGGAAGGGGGAGCCACCCTCAACCCTAAACTCCTAAATCCTCTTTCTGATCCACGCATCAGCATGCAAAGCCCAGGTGCTTGGTTTTTTCGGATGACAATCTGTAGGATTTGGGGTTTAGACATACATCCTAAATCCTAACCCTGAGGTGCCATCGTGATTCTGGATAAAGAAATCCCAGGCCATCGATCACAAATCCTATTGAATCCCAACTGCATCCTTTAGGGTGCAGGGGTTTAGGGTTTAGGGTGGCCTTTCATAGGAGGAACAACTCCCGCATGGAATGGACGGTGAGATGTAACTGTGGCTCCTGAAATACTTTTTCCTCCACCCTACCTAGAGTCTCCATTGTAGTTCCTTTTTTTGGGTTAACCAAAATCTCTATTATAGGATCCTAACCATAAAACTGGCTAACCAAAAAAGTAACTACAATGGAGACTTTTGGTAGACCCTGGACCTGATAGGCGATTAACCTTAACACGCCAAAGAAACTGGGACATTGGATGTAAACAACACTGCAAAACATGTATATTAATATACTTATCTATACGTCTACGTATAATATATCACAAAAAAATAACTCAGGGAGTGATGCAGGGCTCCTCCTCATCCCGCACCTCGCGGCTGTAGGCCAAAGGGGCCTCAAGGGTGTACAGTAGAAGGCCACAAGTTGGAAACCTCATAGCCTCAATCCTTTAGAGTAATGGATAGGGAATCCCCGCACTATTTGGCCTTAATCCGTTTTCCAACTTTATGGGGTTTACTGTAAAGGACCAGGATGTTCATAACCATAGGCTCCATACGGCTGATGATATAAATCCTGCATTACCAATTGCCAGGAATGTACCATTCTTCCCATAGTTTATGGTACACAGTAGTAGTTCCTTTTTGGGGTTCATATTTAGGACACTAAGGTAATCCCCAAATGGAACTACTATGGAGTCTACGGGTAAAGGCTCTGGGTTCAATCAGGGTTGCTATAGGAGGTTTGGGGTGTGGGGACTATAAAGGACCGGGGGACTTAGCGAGTTGGTTCATCATCCGTTTCGTTATGCACCCCTCAGATTACTAAAGAACTATGATGTACCATGTCCCGTGATCCTTCGAAAACTCTTAAAACCGTAAACCCCAAATTAAACAAACGCTGATCATACCCCGCTAAATTTCAATAGACGAAACTGGGCGAGACTAAACGAAACCAGACTATGCTATACTTTGCTTCGCTATACTATACCCGATCCTATACGATACTATGCTATACTATATCGTCTATACTCTTAGGCTAGACTAGACCAGACTAAGACTGGACTCGATCCTTTACGGCATGAAGAAACGCTCAATTTCCATCGCATTTGCAATCCAAGCTTCGCCTCTCTTATCGAAGGTTAAGAGTTGGATTCTTCTTTGAGGTTTAGGGTTCAGAGATGGAGGTTTAGGAATTCGGGTTTATATGTAACTTGAGCTGAGTTTCGCAATCACATAATTCGGACAATTGTAAGATACCTGCTATAGGTGTTGTGCAGGCATGGAAGGGCCGTAGAAGAAGCATGAGTCTACATGAAACTGCCCAGCTAGGAGTTCCACAGATGCTGGAAGAAAGCACGCAGCCCCCCACCCCCCACCCCCCCGCCCCCCACGCTCCAACCCTCTGAGAATGAGAGCATGACAGTCAGTAACCTTTGTCAGAACGACACGGATGGAAACACTGATTGCGCCTACCCCCTCTATCGATTCGTTTTCGGATGAACTTGGGTTCGAGGTTTGGGCCCAGATTATCGGGCCACCAGTTGAGGGTCAAGCATTGAGATTCAACGCCTACACGGATCGAGGCTTATGGCTGAGAGTGTAAGTTCAAGAGTCGACGCGGTCCAAGTTGCGGGCTTGGGGTTTAGGGCATAGCGAAGATTCGTTGAAGACATGGTCTGAAATTCAAGATTCGATCGTTGGGATGCTTGGGTGTACGAACTGTCCCAGACCATAACTTGAACGGAGGCACCAGCATGTAATCCAGAATCACGATTTTCCTAAGCGGCAGAGGCTTCAGAGGCTAGTGCTCGCTTTCCGAGTTTCGGCGATTCGCTGCTGCCTATACAACCCTGCAGGTTCATGATGTCATGTGCCTGCGTAGTAGACTCTAAACCCTATAAACCCTTGGCTCCTATGGGGTTGCTGAATAGGGGTGGTTGTCAAAATTAGGGTCCCTTTTCGGGTACCCTAAATATTAGGTGCCGTAATATATATATATATATATATATATGTGTATATATATATATATATATATATATTGAGGACCCACTAAGGGACCCTCATTTTGACAACCACCCATAGGGGCTTCTAAGGCCAAAGCTTACTGCGGTACTCTAGAGGTCCGCAGACTCGCAGGCCGAAGCTGGATCCCTGAAGACTGAGGAGGCTCCAGTCTTAGAGTTCAGGGTTTAGGGGTTTAGGGTTTAGGGGTTTAGGGTTTAGGGCTTAGAGTTCAGGGTTTAGGGTTTAGGGTTTAGGGGTTTAGGGCTGAGGGTTTAGGGGTTTAGGGTTTAGGGGTTTAGGGCTGAGGGTTTAGGGGTTTAAGGTTTAGGGGTTTAGGGGTTTGGGGTTGAGGGGTTTAGGGTTTAGGGGTTTAGGGCTTAGGGTTTGGAGTTCAGGGTTTAGGGTTTCAGGGCTTGGGGCCCCTGAGGCTCTAGGAACCCTCGGCTTTGGTGCATGTTGTAGTCTTCTCAACCACTAATGATGACCAAGCACTTCTTGCTTCAGGGCTTTTGGGGGCCTCTTACGCATCAAGCAAAAAATCACCAACGAAGGACTGATTGAACCACATATATGCTACGTACATGTTGCTGTGTGCTTGTCATTGCCACAACGACCCGGGCGAGCTGCGCACAGCGGCCCGTGAGTGACGCAAAGGCATACACCAGGCCCTGCACTGGGCTTGACAAGGTTCTTTGCTTCTTTGTCAATACGTAATGACAAGGCCTGCTGCTGACAATTCCGAATAGCCTGTACGCACATCATACGATGGCTACCTTTAAGCGCACAGTACTGGTAATTGTTGCCACCCCAATTCAAGATTAGTCCTGCATCTCCAATACGTGGAGCTGTCTGACTATCTTATCGGGCTCTGTGGTGATTATATACGGCATTCGCATGGTTCCACATGTGCTGTAAGACATGCCGCGCTTCCACAGGGGCTGTACTACCGTTACTATCGTTGTATAATGTCTCAGTATATTGGCTGCCTGTGTATCTGCCCAGACCCAAGCATGTACATGTGGTTCTACAGTCTACTTGCCATCTGGTCAGTCGTGTGGTGTTTGGCTCTATAGGATGTCTAGAAAGCTGTCGCAAAAGGAGGCGTGGTGTTCCGGCAGGTTCTGCCGGATTGCTGATGCCATCTCTAAGACCGCCCAGCCGCAAACCCCTGAATCCTTAACCCGAAGCTCTGAATCCAACAGAACTCATCAATCCGCTTAGCCCCCGAAGCCCTAAATCAATACGAACACCGCAAGCTGCACTACTGTAAACTTCAACTTGCAAAAATCCTAGTAAACTCAAGCCAAACCCTCCTCGACTTCAAGCCGCAAGCCTAACATTCAAGCCGAAACACAGAAACAATGCCGTAAAATCCAGGTCGAAACCCTGATCACTATTCCCACCAACAAGCCCCCTGAACCCGAAACTCCAAGCCGAAAGCCTCATCCACCAGAAACCCCCAACCCGAAAACCTAAACTTCAAGCCGAAACCGCCATCCAAAAAATAGTGGAATCTCGACCAAGCCGGAAAAACATCTTCAAACAAAAACAAACATCCTAAGCTCCAAACCGAAACCCTCTTTCCCTGCACCAAAAACCCCTACTGGCCTGAAGTACGCGAGAATTGCCCTGGACATCACCAACCTCGGTGCTCAAAGAAGGGACCCCTCTGGGTGTGGTTTATAGCTGATTGTTTATAACCTACTCTGCAGGGAGAGGACTGAAGCATCAGAGTAAAAAAAACATGAAATCAACCTCGAAAAAATAGCTAATGCAAAGCTGAAGAAAAGCTGCAAAACGGTGGTGTTAAAGCTTTGTTTCTGGTTTCTTTCAGGTTCCTGTTTACTTGCTTTGCCAGACCTGTCCATCCAATGAGTATTTAGGTGTCCAGTTGGACCCTAAATGCTCCACCCTCAAAAACACGAAACCATGATGCTTGGGTTGTTCTGCGTGTGTTGAGGGCCGTCCTCTCTTCTTGGATCAGATGCTAGTAAGTTTCGGACTTCAGGGGTTGACGGGGATGGCACGGATTCCGAAAAGGGTCCCTGTAAGAGTTTCAACAAAGGCTCCTTGAAGGGTTGGGTTCAGGGGTTGTGGAACGGATGTTTATGGTTCAGGGCATTCGAAGGCTTCATCTTTTTTTCATTCGAAGGCTTCAGGGATTTAAGTCTGGATTGATGTTTTCGGGAGGAGGGGGTGCGCGGGGCATAAACTCTCTAAACCCCCCAAATATTAGGTGGCTGGTCATTGAGCCGAGGTGAAAAGGTCTACTATGAGTGTGTGTGTTGGTTTGTGTTTCGGGATCGGAGGGTTAATGATGTTGCGGCCGGCAGAAGGTTTCACATGGGCAGGCCTGAAGGGCCTTGACATAGATCGGCTGCCCCCCATGCTCAGAATCGGATTTTGCTACATGTTGAAGCGCAGCGCAACTCTCTCTCTCTCTCTCTCTCTCTCTCTCTCTATATATATATATATATACATATATATATATATACATATGGATGGACGATGAGTATGAAGGGATACAGGCACTAAAAATATTCAGGGTTGGAAACTCGTACGGCAGATATTTATCCTTCTCCATGGCTGTACGACTTTTCAGTCTAGAGCCACTAAACCCTAAACCCCTAACCCCTCAACCCTTAAGCCCCTAAACCCCTAATCCCACGCCCTAAACCCTGGTCGACTCAACCCGAATCCTGAAGACCGGGGCTTAGGGTTTAGGGGTTAAACCCTGAGCCCGGTTCGTTGTTATACCTAAGCCTTGTTATAGTTGGTGGTTTAGGGTGAAAGAAAACAAGAAGATAATTTACAGGGGTTACAATACTTCCAGGGAACTATACTGGGGCTATCTGTAGGAATCGACTCTCCAACCCCCCCCCCTGATGCACCAGAAATCCTAAATGCTATCCTAGAGTGGGAGACGAAGACATCAACTATCTACGTGCACAGCAATCCCAGTGGTGGTGGTGGTGGTGGTGGTGGTGGTGGTGGTGGTGGTGGTAGTGGTGGTGGTGGTGGACTAGTCGCTGCAGCAGAGGTAGCAGGCGTTCATGTAATTATATGTAATTTAGCTACCATGAATGCGTCAGCCGCGGCACCTAAACCCTAAACCCATCAGCTATGATCATGATAGCCAGCCTGCGTGATCTCTCCCCAGGAGATAATGGCTGCCCCCACAAAGGCAACGAACACACCCAGCCATGAACGGACCTTGGCGTCGCGTATAAGGCTTAAAGGGCTTAGGGTTTAGGGTTAAGGTTTACCCCAGAACTGCAGATCATAGACCCTTTAATCCTTTAGGTTTAGCGACCCATCTTCTCGTAGTTGTAGCATCCACAGCCTTGCCTTCCCAATGCTCGCGCAAGTTTGCGCAGCAATGTGAATGAGGGTTCAGGCTTAAGGGTTTGGGGGTCCACCGGTTGGCAGACACCCGCCTGATAGAATCTAGTCGCTTTGGGAGGCCAGGCATCTAAGAGTGCGAGCCATTCGAGCCTCTGGGTTGCACCGTTCGAGTAAGGCCCCCGAACTCCTAAACCCCTAAACTCTGAACATATACCCCCCCTTAGAACGATAAACATTTTAATATTTTCAGGATTCTCTTGGGTTTTATATGGACGAAAATTAAAAAAATCCTAAAGAGACTATAGGAACCCTGACATATACGAGGACTGGCTGGGACCCGATGGCTGTCCGTCCCGAAGCCCTCGAAGACTTAAACCCCTTGCAAGGGTGCAGGGCGACTCTCCCTGTAGACTGATTAAACCAAACACCCCTAAACCAAAAGTCGTAAACCCTTAGCCCACAGACTTCAAACTATTCCGAGTGCAGGGACTGTGATTCGAAGCTTCGACCAAGAATCACAGAGCTCAGGGCTTCGCACACGAAACGGAGCCGATGCCTCACCCGAACATGGGTTTAGGGCTTAGGGAAACCCTGAACCCTAAACCCGTCATCCGAGCCGGCCACCGTCAGGCTTCGCCCACAGCAGTTCGAGATGAGCGCCGTGCAGACAGGCGACAATGTACCTCGAGGTCACCGCGCGAGAGCTGCCTATCATGGTTACTAATATCACTACGACCAAAAACGATGGTCCCTATAAACCGTACTAAATTATTAGTACTATTATGCTTAATTATTAGTGGTAATCACTATTTTTCGATATTATCATTATGGTTATGAGGATGAGGACTATTGTTCCTATTGCCATTCTTGGTATTGTGATGCCCTTTCTTTACCAGAAGAGCCACATGTTCGGCTAGATCCTTCGCTCTGAACTGTGCTTGATGCACACAGTTTCGACTCTCATGGCACTTGCACATCTCTCTTCTGCTTCTAGACCTAAGAGTAACCTAGGGATAAAAAAGGGTGCCCGTTTTGGCTTAAAGGCGGTGAAAAGGGAACCTGAACCAGAGAAAAGGGAATAAGGCCCTACTCTGGGTCCTAGGCTTCTTGGCCCCTGTGGCTTGATGTCTTCAGGAACCGGGTCGGGCAGCACATCGCCTGTCCTCCAGTTGCATAACTTTTGTGATCCTTTTCGCACACTTCGTTCCGGATTGGTAAAATCCCAAACCGAAAACTCCCTAAACACCTAAAACTTAAACCGTGAACCCTGACTCTTTTTGATTAAAGCTAAGCTCTGCACTTTCAAGGACTCTCGGCGAAGCACTGAAGGCATATCTAAACTCTAAACACAATATCTTAAGGGTACGAGTGCCCAAACCAGTACATGCTCTGGGCTCGGGGAGCTTCCTCTTCGAGTTTAGCACCTTGTTTAGGGCCTCAGTCCCTTACGGAAAAAGCTTCCAAACAGCTCGGGCGGCCGATGACAGCGCAAACGCCCGCCCCAGCGTACACCATCGCCTTGTTGTTGAGGACAACCTGGTGGTTGCCATTGACCCTAAACCCTAACCCTAGACCCTGAACCCCAGACCCTTAAACCCTAAACCCCTAAACCCTAAACCTTGAACTTTAGACCCTAAACCCCTAAACCACCATGGCGGGAGAGCTTCTTAGTGGGCGTTTCGCAGGACCCTCGGGTTGCAAGCCCTCAGGCTTAAATCCGGCGATCAAACGCCCGAAACCACAAATCGCGGCTACTGCCTCCAGAGAACTAAAGCCAGAATCGCTGGGAACTTGGGGATGTGCACACTGGCTAGTACGTACCAGGTTGAGCTGCGATCAAACTTACGAACTCTGATCGTCAAGCTGGTTCCATGACTACTTTGATCAAGTCTCACCGTTAGTAATTCCCCCTGAAGCCCTGGCCTATACCCCTTCGCCTTACAACATGCCCGTAAAACTATAGCACCCATGAAAATCCTCTTATAACGGCCCTACTATTTTGCCAGACGTGAGCTTGTTCGAACTCGTAGCAAGGAGGGTGCACACTGAATCCCGCAATCTTGGGCTTGCAGGGTTTATAGTGACACGTTTAGGATGTTGCGAGCCAGTTTTGTAGGCATTCGTTGCATAACACTAAAGGGTCCATGTACTCATAGACTCATAGAGTACATACATTGGCCTTAATGTAGTCCCTATATAGGTACTTTGGGGCTCATGTATCTCTATATGAGTACATGGACCCTTAGGGCAATGGATGCTCCAGCGCCTTGACCCACAGCCCAGGGAACCTTGCAGCCCTGAGCATCAAGAGACAAGGCCATTCACAGTGAACCTGCCGAAGCCTGAAGGCTTCTAAGGGTTTAGGATTTTAAGGTTTAGGGTATAGTGTTTAGGGTCTAGGGTATAGGGTTTAGCGTTTAGGGTATAGAGTTTAGGGGTTTAGGGTAGTCAGAAGCGAACACAGGCTAGTCAAATGCGAACACCTACACGTGATAGCACAGCATGACAACGAAAACCTTCCAGAGATGAACATCAGCAGCCATAGGATTCGGCAGGAGCTCTGCTCACGCAAGCCCCTAAACTCTAAAAGTGTAACCTTGGCGTCGAGCTCTCCCTCTTACACTTCTGACTCAGTCGCCGAATTTCACTTCTTAGCAAATCTTTTCTGGTTGCAGTTTTGGCTCGGTGATGATGGTCCAGAGATCGTAGCCCTATACCGCCTAGTCCCGTGTGGTCGTCTGTATCTTCGGCCTTGAAGCAGTTCCTGTATAGCTACGTGGTTTCCAAACAGGATCGCATGTTCTGTCATGCGACACTCCTGTATGTTATACGTATACTATACTTACATACGATTATACTAAGTCTTACATCATATGATTGTATCATTCTGAACTCCATTCTACAATCCCAAAGGCCCTCCTCTCTAAGGCAGGCACCTGGACCCTTAGGGATGTACAGACCGAGGGATTCCAAGATCTTACGAAGCCCAAGAGCCAAACACCAGTCCTCACAATGGGTGTGAGGCTTAGGGTCTATATACAGCCGAGGACTCCGAAAACCCTTGACTAAGGAGCATATACTTTTTAATATCTTTCAATCATACTAAGAATCCCGCTGCACGCAAAGGTACGACATGGCGATTTTCCGGCCGAAAAATTCCTGGAAGATACCGCAGGGCAAACAGCTTAAGTTTGTAATTGTCATGCCGAGGGACAGAGATGGGTTGGCTGACAGCCACAGGGACGACCGTCCTCGGGTGCTCGATTGGCTGCAAGCTTTGGGTTCAGGGCTTTGGGGATTGGGGCTTCGGGCTGAAGGGTTTGGGGTTTTGGGGGCTTTAGGTTTAGGGTACCCTGCGACGTGCTCAAGCACTCATATCGCCTTTACTTTGGGATCAAGTATGGTTCAACCTGCCTGCCTGCCTGTCTGTATACACAGTCGCCTACTTGGACCCTTATCAGTTAATTGTGATAACTCACCCTAAACCACACCAGACCCTAAACCCTAAACCGAACCCCAAACGTTCCTCCATCACTACGGCCCGACGGATCCCAGTACTCCTGCTGAAAGGACCGATTTCCCTTAGGCACCAAACATCATGGACAAAGACTACTTGAATAAGATAGGGTCTTGCACATATGGGTATAATTAAGGAACAATTGCTACTGCTTAATATGAGCCCTGCAGAATTACGGCCTCACCTTCAGCCCTGAAGATCAACGTTCAACTTGCCTGATCCTTGATCCCTGACCTCGAAGTTCTCAAGCCCAACCTGTCACCCCAAACCCCTCCAACAAGATAGGCCTATGTTTCGACCCATACTTCTTTGGCATAACCCTTCTGAAACTGCAGCTTATTATTTCAAAAAAGATAGGACCCATACTTATCGGGCACCAGGCTTCTGAAAGTGCAAATTCTACTTAAGCTCCTCACAGAAAAGCCTTTGAGAGAGCCGAGGGGCCGCATCCAACGTCTGGGTGGGATGGAGCAAGGCAGGATCTTCAAAGGCTCGCCCATCCAGATCCAGTACCTACACTAGAAGACCAACAGTTGGAAACCCCATAACGGTTTAGGGTTTAGGGTTTAGGGTTTAGGGTTTAGGGTTTAGGGTTTAGGGTTTAGGGTCAATCCTTAAGAGTAATGTATAGGGAATCCCAGCACTATTTGGCCTTAATCCGGTTTCCAACTTTCTAGGGTTTACTGTAATCGCAGCTCAGTGGAAACTCTTTCGAGCTGCAGGAGGCAGGGATGCTTACTTTAAATCCGAAACCCGAAAGTACCTACAGCAGAAGCCCGAAAGTTGGAAAGCCCATAGCCTCAATCCTTAAGAGTAATGTGTAGGGAATCCCGACACTGTTTGATCCAGCACCTAATCTGTGAGTTAGGATTAGGGGGACCCTTGGACATATATAGGCCCTCTCAATAAGGCCCCTTTTAAGAGAGCCAGAAGTAGGGTTCGGAAGGGGTACGCTTTAAGGGGTCTGCCTAATATCACTACCTATAATCGCAGCTCAGTGGAGTCTCTTTCGGGCTGCAGGAGGCAGGGATGCTTACTCTAAATCCTAAACCCTCAAGGACCTAAACTCCAAGCCCTAAATCCTATAAGCCCCAAACAACCTGAACCCTTATAAGAACTAAATCCTCAACCCTAAAAGGCCCGAAGCCTAAAGGCCTAAACCCTAAGCCCTAGATCTTAAACCCTAAAGGCCTTGAACCCCAAGCCCTAAAGCCTAAACCCTAAAGGCCTTGAACCCCAAGCCCTAAAGCCTAACAGCATGTTGAAGCCCCGGCGGGGTAGAAGTCGCATCGGCTTTTAGCTGTGGCTTCTGGAGATGTGAGGCGTCTGGCCTGGCCGTGTTGGCCTGGCTTTAACAAAGCCCGGGTGTAGGGTTTAGGGTGTAGGGGTTTAGGGGTTTAGAGGTTTAGGGATTCAGGGTTTAGGACTAAGCTGATTGGCCTGAGCGCCGTCGAAACTCTTATCAGCCCCTGTCTGCTTGGTGGGATGAAGAGCCTGGAAACTGAAAAGTTGCAGGCCTGTTTGGTGTTACATGTCAGATCTCGACCAGTGTGGATGGAAGCCTTAAACGGTGGAAGTAAATCCAGTCTCTAGCCTGCTCCATAAACTTCTAAACCTGAAGCCTACCAACCCGATGTCGCAGCTCCATATGGGAAGTTCTCAAAATCAGGGTCCCTGTTTAGGTTCCCAAAGATACTAAAAGGGACCCTTCTTAAATCCTCAAAATAGTGCGGCACCCTTATAGAAAGGACCCTAAAAAGGACCTTCTGCATGTGGAGAACTACCCATATCCCTAAGGGTCCATGTACTCATATAGTATATACATTGGCCTTAATGTAGTCCCTATATAGGTACTTTGGGGCTCATGTATCTCTATATGGGTACATGGACCCTTAGGGTATGTTCATCTTCTCACCACGCGGCACGGCGCAGGCCACCGGCACACAGCTAAAGTGCAAAGTCGTTAGCAGGCCGGGGAACCTTTGCAGATCATGATATAGAGGCCTTAATAATAATGATGATAATAATAATAATAGTAGTAATAATAATTTTTAATAATCATAATAATACTAATAATTAGAATAGGCTATTGGGGCCCAATATACCATCATTATAGAAAAGGAACCCCCAAAATAGTATCATGATTTAGGGGCCCTAATAATTAGAATAGGCTTTTGGGGCCTAATATACCATAATTATAGAAAGGAGCCCCCAAAATAGTCTATATATAGGCAATTTCTTCAGACCCCTAGAACAGTAAGCTCTTTGAGGTAAGCTTTACTGGGCTCCTCTCTACTCCATCTCAGCTTCTGGCACTTAGGGCTTAGG